ATGATGATATTTTTGAATTTTTATTTGATTTGAAAAGACTTAAATCTATTGATGATGATAGTTTGAAATGTCCTTGCATTAACATTGTAAATTATTTGAAGCATAATATGATTTCTGATATTGATGGGGTAGAATTATTTTCAGAGTTGAAAGTTCTAAGGGAAGCGATACCTGCAGAAATTGTTGGAGCAATTGATGCGTTGGATTTGCTTGGATTGCTTATAGAGTATTATTGACAATACCTATTTCAGTAAGGACTATTTGCATTTGTCATCTGACTATGTTCTATTAATTATTTTTGCTTTGATTATTAGAATTTTAGAATCTATAGTCTAGAAAATAATCATGAGTTTATTTTATCCCACTTCTATATGTGCTACTATTATTTGCATTTGGCCTACATCTGCCTATGTTGTTTTTAATTAAATTTGAGTTAAGTAAAGAATTACATGCTTAGTGAAAAAATGTAGACACAACCCATGAACAACCTTGTATCGGTCTTTCCTTTTAATTCCAAAATATGTTGCATCTCTATCCCGGTCTAGATGTATTTGTTGCAATTTGTTTGGTGTTCGTAACTGAAGTTGCACTATTGCTAGGAAAGAGTGTGTAGATTATAGTGTTCTATCTGCTGAAATTTTTTCTTTAATGTTCCAATGTCTGCATACTGACCAATTTGTATCCTTTGACCATATTCATATCTACCTGATTGAAATCATTTATCCCTTTGGATATAACAACATTTTTAAATGTAGATGGCAACTGAGGGGATAAAGGGAAAATCAAAATTTGGGATGCACAAACACATGAGATTTGGGTTGATGTAGCTGGAGAACAAGTGAGGGCTGGTAACAGAAATGGAACACACTTGAGCAAAGAGGGTTGGAAACTTTTTAGGGAGAACTTTAACAAAGCAACAAACAGAGATTATGATAGGAGACACTAAAAAATCATTGGGATATCGATGATGGAACACATGTTCGCACATCATTTCTAACGAATTAGCAAATCCCGTATATTGGTAGAAAGGGATATCCTACCCAAAACATGATGACCATGTGTAGTTTTTACATGCTATTCAATAGGGATGGGCATGCGTTGGATTGGGTTGGGTCGGTTTTTTGCCTCAATCCAAACCCAACCCAACATGATCGGCTTGATCATAATTTAATCAAACACAACCCGTGTAAATGTTGAAACCCAACCCAACTTAATTAAGTATCGATCGAGTCGAATTGGGTTGGTCGGTTTGAGACAATTTGTTGACAAATTAAAGTAGGCGGGTCGGGTAAAAATTCTTAGAGTTCATTTAGATTTCCCACAGCATAAAAATCTTTGTTATACACGACAATTTTAAATATAGTGTTTTGGTATAAACCTATGAAGGAAACTAAATAAACAAATTGAAATAGATTTAATTAGTGTTCTAAAAAACACGTCTAGGCACGGAGCCACAGTTTATACTTTTTTATGCTTGCTCGTTTAGGCTCATAAAATCTTGAAGTTTGACCTGACGTATAGCCACACATTATATTTTTTTTAGAACACTTGACTGAATATGTAAAATATGTTTAGGAGATCTAGTTACGTACCACCAAAACTGTTGCTCCTCAAATCTAACCGAACAAGTGCTGATAGGTTTCCAATTTCATTTGGAATAGATCCTGTCAACCATTTAAGCATATAGGTTTCAATATATCAAATTTAAATTCATATGAAATA